TTCCTAAGAAGACACTTAGTCTGCTGAGCTATTCCACTGGTCCTTTATCACAGAGCTTTGTAGTTATGTCTGCTGGAAAAAAAAAAAAAAAACAAAAAAACAATCCAGCCTGGTTTAAACACACAACGAGCATCTTTTGCTTAGAGAATGTCCAAGGATTCCCATCGAATGAAAGGCAAAGGTAGAGTTGATGTTAGGCGCAGCTGCGTTCAGAACTACACTGTTATCCTCAGAACAACTGTGTCTCTCATGCTGAGAAAGCAGGGGCAGCCACAGCCCTCAGAAGACACAGCCACGGTGAAGGGCGACACTCCGAGTGTCAGCCTGTCTCCCAACTAACTGAGAACTGGCACTGCGCTGAACCCTGAACTCATTCAGTAGCTGGGCTTTCCCGATGAGGACAGGACCTCCCCCTTTGGGACCAAATGGCATCGCTGACACCCACAAGGCACTCCCTGTAGCTCTTTCCCAGCTAGACAGACCCCACTGGAATCAGGCTGGATGACCTCGCGCCTGGTGCACTAGTTCCAGCCTCTTACTCCCTCGTTCACCTTGGCCTGGACATTCCCAACTTGGGCTCTTTCCTCTGACAACCCTGGACTTTTTCTTGTGCTCTCCCTAGCTTGGCCTGGCCAGCTTGTAATTAACAGACCTTGTCTTTACCCTCTGACCTGCCTCCCCGCTGGGTTGTCCACACGTGGCAACTGACCTTGGCGTCACCCCTCAGCTCTGCCCAGCTGGCCTGCTGTGCTAGAACTCACATTTGCTTGCTGTTTCTCTAAAAGAGACTCTTGAACTTGTCTCATCGCTTACGGAGTGGGTGTGGTACCTCCCGTCACATACTCTCCCAGGTGTAGCCTCTTCATCAGCCTGGAATCCACCACCCTGGCATCCTTTTCCAGCTCCACTTCTGCCACAGGGAATAGTCTTCACAGACTGGCAAAGCTGGATGGCCTCTCTTCATGGAAGTAGAGTGGCGCCTCCCATGTGGCCCACAACGTCCCTTCTCCTGCCCCAGAGCTATGCTGAGCTGAGCTGAGCTGAACAGTCTGGGAAGCAGCAACAGCAGCTCGGCTCCCCACAAGGGCTCTTGACAGTGCAGGGCTCCTGTCCTGGGCTGAACCTGGTCCTCCGGCTGAGACTCTGGCTTCCCTGGTGACCCCAGGAATCCCGTCAAGGCTTCCAGCATGCCCCCCTCTGAGCTGAATCAGCATGAGCGGTTTCTTCCTCTATAGAACCTTAGCTGATACTCTTGTGCCGCACTGCGCCCTTTCTGACTCTGGATTTACTCGGGCTTTTTCCACTCCTCCCTCTGCAGTGGCCATTGAAGTCTCTCTGGTCACCCTGGCTGGTCTCCTGCAGCATGCTCCTCTCAGATGTTGGCCTGCACATTCCACTTCCTGCCAGGACCCCGCTAGTCTGGAATGGATCTGGGCTGCGGTCCAGGAGACAAAGTTCCCGGCGCTGACATGGTCCGCATGCCCAGATGTTCCCCCATAGACTTCCTCTCTTTTCTTTTCCAAAGTCACAAAGCTTCAAGTGAAAGAAGGAAAGAAAACACCACCTGTAGCACCAGTGCCCTCCATTTCCTCCCCTAAAGCTTCAAAGTGAATAGAGCGGGCGAGGCCTCAAAGGCTCCTAGGCTGGCAGAACCAGAGGAGGCCTCGGGAAGCCCGCGGGCTCGTGCAGGCTCTTGCTCACGTGCTGTCTCTGATCCTCAGGCTATGGCTGGTTGGGCTGTCACAGCTGGGCCCGGGAGGAAAGTGCGGCGCGTGATTCCCAGTGGCCCACGGATGCCGAGTGAGAAGGTAACAGGTTAGGAGCTGGATCGCTTCCTCTTCACCACCAGCCTGCTCTGCATTTTATGAGTGAGGAGACTGAATTGCACATACAGGAACCAGAGCAGATTTGGAGATAAAATCCAGATTGCCAGTGACAATGATGTGCTTTGTGCTAGAATTCTGGCTCCTCTGAGGTTATGTAGGTCCACTTGCTGATGACATGACTGCCTCCCCGTCGGCGATGTCTGTCCCGAATCTGCACTGCTGTACATGACAGTAGGGGCTGGAAAGGTCCCCGTGGGGCCTGGAGGACTTTTATTTTATTTATTTTTTAATGTATTTAGTACAGAGACTACAGGGTCTCACTATACAGATCGGATACATAGCAATCCTACTGTTTCCAGCCTCCCAGGCACTGGGATTACAGGTGTGCACCACCAGGCCCAGTCTTAGTGGCCGGCTTAGCAGGCCCCAGAAGTAGGGCCAGCATGGTAGACGGGTCAGCTGCACTGGTCACAAACTCCAGGGATTAGAAGGCACCTGTAGTCTCAGCCCCTGGTTTGGACTTTTTGTCAGGACACAGTTAGAAAAAAAATCAGAAGCTGCTGCCTCAAACGGGACATCGCTATTGGGTCCTGAGTGGGGAGCGAATGCACAGCAGAGTGAATGTCTTCCAAATGCTAGAAGCTGCCACCTGGAGACAAGAAGTGAGGTCCAAGGACAGAAGCAGCCCAGCTCCCCGAGCCGGCTGCACAGGGCTGGGCATAAGACATGGTCGTCCTTTCATGGAAGTCAGCTCTTCACTTTAAAATCAGTGCTGGCTCACCCCGGAGACCAGCCAGAGCCTCACCTCTGCCCACACTGAAACGTACGCAGAAAGTTATTGGTTGCAGCAGGCGTGATCTCGCAGTGGGCAAGAACCCACAAGGGGCAGCCAGTGCCAGGGCTCAGCAGCCAGGGAGGGGTCGCCATAACTTAGGGGCCCCAGGTCTGCTGCTTCTTGGAGAGGGAGTTCATAGGGAAGGGGGCTATTCTCAGGATCTGTCTTGGTGAGCCGACGGCATCCTGTTTTATTAAAAGCCTAGTGTTGGCAGGGACAGCCTTCTGCCTGCCCAGTGGGCAGGGACCCAATATCGCTGTGGGCAATTCCAAGCCAGGACTGGGAGCTGACATCAAACCAGGAAAGAGCACGACTGGGTTTTAGCTGATGTAGCAGTACTTATTCTTTCTTTCTTTTTTCTTTTTTTTTAAATGGATCTCTTGCCTGGTTCTGCCATGTACATTTTGTGTGTGCAGGCATGCGTGTGGCATTCTGTACCCCCAGCCGCTTCACTGGAGATGAGCCCCCCCACTCCCCTTCTCCCTCTCTGCCTGTCCCCCACTCCCTTCACCCCCCAGCTGCCCTGCCCCCACCCCATGGACAGGAAGAGCAGAGAGAGGCCCAGACTGTGGCTTGGGGTTATTTACAGGGGCTGGTGGGGGAGGGCAGGGGAACGACTGCCTTGTTTATCTTCTGAGTTTTGAAACTCCACCAAACTCATCTGTTTCCAAGGAAGCCTCCATTTGTAGGCGTCCCAAAATAAAAAAAAGTAAAAGGAGCTTGACTTCAAAAGAAATTAGAGGGAAAACTGTTTTCTTTGTTAGCCAATTAGTTTATTATTGTTGTTTTATGACATCGGTTTTTTCGAAGGTAGACAAAGTTGGCCACCTTTTTTCATATTTTTGCTTTCTTCCTCTTTTGCCTTGTCATTTAAGAGGGAAAACAATATTTTCAGAGACTGATAAGATATGTTCCTGGCTCAATTCGTGTCACGTCTGTCTGGGGATTTGGGGTTTTGTGTAAACTTTTATAATCACATTTTCTTTTGGAGTCATAGATGACTATGGGTCTCCCATTCATGTCGTAAACTAAAGACACTCACAGAGCTTCCACTTTTACCCAAACAATTAAGGTTAAAATTAAAGATTAAATATGCTTTCATGCTGATTTTAAAATAATTATGAAATAAATAAAACATTTTAATATACTAGTGGTTTGTACATAATTTGTTTAGTTCTTTAATAAACTTAGAGTTGAACAGCTTGCATATCAAATCAGTATGTTAATTTATTAACCTTTTTTTAACCCTTCACTCAAACAATAAACTTTTCATGTAGAGCCAGAAAATATTTGTTTTAAACAATTTTTTTTTTAAAAAAAGATAGAGTAAATGGAGGTAAAGGAATGTGAGGAAGCAGAAAGAAGCCCATAAGATGTATCTGAAAATGTGTTGCTTTATATTTGAGCATTCAGTTCATCTGTAGGATGTTACTGTTCCATTTCTATCATTTATCGCATGATATAAAACTTGGTATGTTCTGACATAAGCCAAAAACCAAGCACACTCACAGTTTTTGTTATACGTCTTAGTATTTATGTGTTCATTTTATGGAAGTCTTTCAAATAATGGGGGTGATATAGGACCCCAAAAGGGTGACATGAATCCTGTTTAATCCAGTTTACGTGTTTCTAAACCTTATCTTTAAAGTAAAGATATTCAACAAATTTGAGTTTTCCAGGGGGTCCTCTGTCTGGTTACCTAAGAGAAAACAGAGTTATCTCTATGGTGAAAGAAAGGGCAGGTTTTTAAAAAGGAGGGACAGGGTTTTCTATCAGTTGGCACAGCGTGTCCTGCCTGGTGTATCTTTGCTGGCTAATTTAAAACATTAACTCCAAGTTTTTAATATAGCACTTGCCCGCAAGTCACTGGGCTGGAAGCCCATCCTGTCTGTGTCAGGCAAAGGTCCAAGACAAAAACAAGGAGGACACAGCCGTCAGAAGTCTTTATTTGTGCAGCTAAACATTCAAAGTTAAAGAGCCTACAGCTCCTTTCTAGATAATGTAGTTGCAGCCTTTGGGCCCTAAAGGAAGGCCTGGTTCAGGACCCCGGGCAAGGAATGGAAAGAGTTCTTAGAAAACAGATATGGATGTGACTGGTCAACTTGCAGTCCAGGAGATAAGTGATAATCTGTTTAGGTTTTCAAAAGTCATTCAATATCCTGTTGACTAAATCCAGAGCAGGCTCAGAGAAATGCATCTGGGGATTAGAGCAATTGACCTCTCCTAAGAACGCAGAGGGTGCAGCTCCCATCACAGAAAGCACCTTTGATAGCATTCTTTCTGCTTTCTGGAAAGTCACCCAGGAAAGGAAAACATGCCTGAAACATATTTTTAAACAGGCTCTGCTGATTTCTGGGACCAGAACACAACAGAGCAGACGCTTTCCCTGCTCCACTCCTCTAAATACTACTGAATGCCCAGGAAACTCTTCAAGAAACAACAATAACTCAAACATCTGGGAGAAAAGAAGGTGGGCTGACAAGAAGCATCAAGACTTGAGAAACAGCGAGCAGGTGAGTTTCACGCGTTTTGTTTTTATTTCCCATATGTGCTGGGCTGGTCTCAGGGGACAGCTGTAACCAACAGACACAGACAAAAACATCCCTGAGAATATCCTGTTCTTTGTGACCAAAGGGAACCCCCAAAGGAGACCTGCTAGGTCCCCTGGGTTAACTTTTCATCCATGTAATGAAATTCACAAGAAAGACAATTTAAAGGAGGGAAGATGTACTTTGGTTCACAGCTTGGAGGCTGCAGGCCACGGCTCTGTTGCTTTTAGGCATGCGACGGGACAGAAGCGTCGTGGCAGGAGGTGAGGCACCGGAGCACAGCTTGTCCCATCACGGCCAGGAAGCAGAAAGCAGAGACCCGGAAGCAAGGGCTCAGTGACAGAATATGGGCATCACACCCTTGGTGCCTGCCTAACCCAATTAGGCCTCACCTCCTATGGAGCCCATTCAGCTAGTGGATTTATCAATGGATAATCCACTTACTGAACCCCCATGATCCAGTCATTTCCCATAGCCTATCAGCTTTGCACACGATGTGCCTCTTGGGGGGCATTTTAGATCTCAACAAGAACACCTTTGTTCCTTGTGATTTCCTTTTCCGTGGTTACCTGTGGATAACTGTGGCCTAAATATATTCAGTGGAAAATTCTAGAAAGAAACAATTTGTAAATGCTCACCTGTGTACCGCTCTGAGTTATGTGATGAACTTTGCTTTGCCTGCACTGTGACTCATCCTTTTGTTCAGTGTATCCACATCTTATAAGCTACCTGCCCATCAGTCACTTAACCATTAAGTCAATCAATGCTGAAGGTACCACAGTGTTTGTAACCTTTATACTGTTTCCTGAGAATAGTGATGCTAGTAATTCTACTATAGCATTTGTTGTATGTTTTTCTGTTTTATTATTAACAATCATGGCCAATCTCTTACTTGTGTAATCAAACTGTATTGTAGATATATAAGTATAAAAAATAACATGATCTATGCAGGGTTTGGTCCTTCTCATGGTTTTAGTCAATAATGTGCTGGAGGTCTTGGGATGTATTCCCCATGGCTAAGAGGAGACTACTATATGGCAGTTTGGGACACGAAAGGCCAGAAAGGGATTGTACTCAAAAGACACAGCTTTCAGAGTGAAAACAAACACATACCTAAATTTGGACTCCCATGGTCTCGTGCTTTCCAGGGAAAGCAAGCTAATGAGGGAAGAATAATTTGGCTCAAGAACCATGACCCCAGGTGGACATAGCCTGGTCTGGGGCGCATCTGCGACAAGTGGATGGGCCGAGCCAAGCGCCATCCTTAGCCTTCTGGTCCTTGCTGCCAAGCCAGCAAGTTGCCTGCGAGGCCAGGTTCCCATGGGCGGGGCTCCGGGTGGGATGCTCACCAGAACACCTGTGTCGTGGAAAGATCGAGCAATCGGCTGCGGCAAACTACTGTGTACCCAGGTCCAAAAATAACTCCATCTCTTCAGGCTGGATTGAAGTCATTCTTTCAGGTGCAGAGAAGGAAAGCACAACGGTGCGTCACTGGTTTAAAATAGGACCAGGGTCAGCTTGGGTGCCAAGTCGGCAGTTTCTCAGCTGGTATTTCCTATGCTTCCTGTTTTTGGACACGGGTTCCTGTCTACTCTGAGATGAGGTGTGTGTGTGTGTGTACACATGGGTATATTTTAGAAGTTCCATCGCCTTATATTCTCTCTTTTCTGAACATGTGTTCGTTTTATCAATAGACTACATTTATCTTTACTAGCCGTTCATAGCTTGTCCTGGGATACTTTAGTCACATAAATTAAAATAGTCTTTCTTTTTCCCTAGCTGTATTCTATGGATCTTTGGTGTTTTCTTTGAATATCCGTTCGGGTCCCTGAGTACAACAAGGGGGTCACTATTGGTTAATATACATGATCCTGCACTGTGTTGGAGCATTCTGTGGAAAGGTAGCTCATTTTTGAGAGAGCATTCTCAGAAATCTAAGATCCTACCAATTCTAAGAATCCCCCCCCCTTTTTTTTTCCCCATTTTTTGTATTTGGTACAGTTCAGACTCGTAGTGATCCTCCTGATTTCAGCCTCCACTGCCGGGATCATAGGCATGTGCCACCACACCCAGACTCTGTCACTGGCTCAGTGCACCTCAAGAGGTAGCATGTGGGACCAGGGATTGAACCCTGGTCCCTGTGCTTGCCAAAGCAGATGCTTAGTCTGCTGAGCTATCTCTCTAGCCCTAGAATCTTCCCTTTTATTTCCTTTTTATAACCCGTCTATATTAAAATCAATAAATTATATTCAAGATTGACTGTTACTGCTTCATATAGTGGAAGGACTTCTGGTTCAGACTAGATAGCATAGTGGTTCTTTTCTCTCTTCTCTCCTCCCAGGGGTTGTAAGGATAAATGCTGGAAATAATGTTAAAGGCTCAAAGAGGAAGTTCTTAGGGATCCCAGGACTGGAGCAACTCTAGGCAGCAGCTTGAGCTAGGTCTGGTATTCCCCCAAAGACAGCCAATGGAGACTCAGCCCTCCCCCTTCACGGCGGGCCTGAAGGCCTCCCTCCTAATTGTCAGACACTTAGGGTGACCCCTTGGCCACACCCTAACAACCAGCCTTATTTGGGAGGCACTCTTGGTCTCCCTGGGCCCGAGATTGCCTTCTTATATTGAGGCATCAGAGGGTTGAGGAAAAGGAACTTCCTCAGCCTCCTAGAAGAACTGGGAAGGACCAACAGAAATCCTACTAGGCTGTAATTGTACGGCAAAGGCTCTGAAGCTAGGCTGTCACTGGACCCACATTCCACTGAACTAGGCCAAAGTCTATACGTTAAACCTATACAGGGTAAAAGCCTACTTAAAACGAAATTAAACAGAACTCAGAATCTCTTAACATAAAAGACAAGGTATCCAAATACAATAAAAACACATGTCATTTTAAGAACAAGGAACATCACTTACACAAGAAAAGACAATCAGCTGACACTGAGATGAATCAGAGGGGAGAATTATTTAACAAAGAGTTCACAGCAACCACCATGCACTACTTCAGAAAACAATTGCAAACTCTTGAAATGAACGAATAGACAAATCTCAGCAAAGAAACAGCCATTGTAAAGGAACAGTCAAATGGAAATTATAGAAGTGAGAAATGAAACACTCACTGGATTCTGCTCATAGCTGAATGGGTGTCACAGTCAATAGAATCAGACTGAGGAAAATAAACAGAAGTCAACCACTCTGAACAATAGAGAGAAATAGGCTGCAAAAAAATTCTCTGTAGCGTGGTGACTTTGATTCAGAAATTACTAGTATTAAGTTCACTGCAGGGGTCTGTTTAATCAACTTGAGATAAATAGTTTTAGATGAGTGACAAATAATTAGAATATTAAAAGATTTAAATATTCTTAATAGCATCAAAACATGGAGAAATAAATCTAACTTAATTGAAGATTACAGGATTGTTATTGAGAGAAAGCAACAGAGTTCTATAAATATTCATAGGATAAAAGGTTTAATAGCCTTATGGTCAGTTCTTTCTAAATTGATCTACACAGTCAGCACCATTTAATATAGATTCCAGTGGAATTTTATCCTGTTTGTAGGAATAACTTAATTTGTTATTTAAACATTTAAAAGACCAAAACAATCTTGAATAAGGATGCTTGTTAAGACTTATTCTGAAGGTTTAGCAAATAAAACGCTGTGGGATTTGCCCAAGTGTAGACAAAGAGACCAGAGGAAAATGAGAGAGTCCTAGAAGATAGATTACACCTATTCAGTCACTTGGATTATGATAAAAGTGACTGTGCCATGTGTGGGGATAGGGGGTAATCTTTTCTTAAACTGCAGGGTCTTTTGGATATCTGTGTTTTTTATAATGGTGGCTTTATTTTATTTTATTTGTGGTATTGGGGATTGAACTCAAGACCTTGCACTTGCCAGGTAGGTCCTTATTCTACTGAGCTATCTCCCCAGCCCTATTTGTGTTTTTAAAAATGAACCTTGACCCTATTTTTCATCATACACAAAAATCAATCAGGGGTCACAGACCTCAATATGAAAGGCAAAATAACAGAACTTCTAAAAGATAACATAAAAGAGTAATTCCATGACCTTGGAGTAAATTTTTTCCAAATGTAGTACAAAAGGTACCAAGCACAAAGGAAAAGGTTAATGCACTGGACGTGATTAAAGCTAGGAAGTCCTGTTTGTTCAGAGATGCACTTACTAGAATGACAAGGCAGGCCACAGAGAGGAAGGGAAAATGTGCAAATCACAAACCCAACTAAGGCATTGTATCCAGAGCACACAAAGACTTTCCCTAAGTCATTAATAACCCATTAGAAAAAATTGGCCAAAGACTAGAACGAGCACTTCACAGAAGAAGCCTGGCTATTAATTAATAAACAATAGCAGGAAAATGCAAACTAGTCCCAAGGAGACACCACTGCAGAGCCACAAGATGCTACCACAAGTGCTAGAGAGGATGCCAATATCTCCTACACCTGAGCACGAGTGACAATATCTCCTACATCCTGGGACCCAGAAATTCTACTCCTAGATAGATATTCAATGAAACATGTACACATGCACACTACAGACATATACAAAACATATATATCTATCTAGTTATGGCAACCAACAGAATGGATGCATATACCATGAAGCATTTAACAGTGAGATGAAACAACCCATTACATTGTCCAATAAGTTGGATAACTCTCGTAGAACATCATGTTCAACACAACCACACAGGTACCCGAAGGGTTCCATTTGTGTGGAGTTGAAGAACAGGCAAGGGGACCGTCGGTCAAGACAATGGTTACCTAGAGAACATAATAGACCTGTGGCACAAGGGGCACCTGTGGTTGCTGGTGATGCTCGCTTCTTGATCTAGTGGGTGATTTCACGGGTTTGCAAACACACTTCAAGCTTCTCTGCCTATCACGTGCCCTTTCCTCTATGTACTCTGTTACTTCAGCAAAGAGTTTGCTGGAAAGAGCCTTCTCAGGTTAGCAAGCTGGGAGCAGCCATGACATCCTCCTTGCCTCACAAAGACATTTGAGAAGGCAAATGTTCTCTCCCTCTGAGCTCAGAAGCAAACAGATGACTAGAAGTGGGTTCGCGAATAATTTCTTTGTAGACGGCCTGTCCCAAAGGCCCCACGATTTCCCTGCGTTAGACAGCCAGGTTTCATTTCAGCACTGTGTCCTGCTCATGAGCTGTCAATCCCACCTCATGGAGCTCATGGGCTTCAGTTACCCCTGACTCCAGGCCTCTGAGCCCGTGGACAGACCCTGCTGCCTGCTCCATTCCCCACCATGACCAGGACAACAGAGGCTGTGCCCTAGTTTTTCAATCTCATATTGATGTCTCCTGACACACATAACTGGAAAGAACTTGGGGAATTTGCTTTCTCTCTGAAGACACCCAAAGATTCTTCTGAAGTAATTGTGACATTTTTAAGGTGAGAAAAACAGCTCTCATTTGGAAGCAGTATTTCCTCAAGAAAGGGGCTCTTGAACCCTAATGTTTGGTTTGCCCCTTTATGAGAAACTCAGGGCCTTCCAATCCCTCACTCCTTCGACCAGCAGGACAAGAGACACTGGGGTTACAGGCTGTATGGTTTTTACAAATCTCTATGTGCTTCTCTGTCACCTCCTTCTGAGTAGGTTGCCTGAGTTAGCTTAGAGCTGGTGGGGACATCCCCTCGTAATCCCCCAGTTTTGCAAGGATGACACTGAGGCTGGGCAGGAGAGGAATTTTGTAAGGTGAGCAGTAAGAAAGCAGGTCCCCCAGGACACCTGGCAGTGACCCTGAACCAGGGACTGGAGGACAAAAAAGGACTTTGCATTCTAAGATTAACCATCACCTCCAGCCCTTGGATCCTTTTCTTTGCTTCTTACCACCAAAGTCAGGGTCCTGAAGCCTCCATGGGGGCGAGGGAGCTGTCTCTGCCTCTACCCAGGATCAGTGGCTCCAGGCTGTCCTCAGTGAGATGCACAGGAAGAGGAGAGGCAGCAGGGCAGAAAGGCTAAGCTGGAGGGGGCTTGGCTGCACAGACAGGTGCACACGCGCGGGAGCTCAGGCTGCAGATTCAAATCCTGCCTCTATCTCGTAGCCTCTCGGAGCCTCATTGTCCCTGCCTGTGCAGCAGATGGGGACAGAGGCATATCCTCTTGGCAGGGCTGCCATGAAGGTCAGCTGTGGAATTGCACTTAGGAGACACAGAGGTTCCATCGTAGGAGGGCCAATGGCTATCCTGCGGGCACACGGCCACATCTCTGACACCCGAGACCAGGAACAAGAGGCAGGGACAGCTTCTGGTACTGGACTCTGGAGACAGAGCTGGCTCCTGGTGGCCTCCGTGAAGCGCTGGCTTCATGACAGGTCTGGCCACGCAGGGCTGCGAGTCCAGCATGCTGAGAGCAGGTGGCATCGCATCAAAGGCCAACCGAGAGGGAAGCCCAGGCAGGCCAGCCTATGGGTGATGACTGTAACAGTAGCCAGCCCTGGGGTCCGGCCCATCTGCAAGATGTTCTGAAATGTCCCCTCCTGGGCTCTGAATGCGCTGCTGCTGCTGCTGCTGCAAGTCCACTGTTAGAAAGCCATTTCTTTGGCTTACTATCTGGGCCTGTGTTAAATATCTTCCCTAGAAGGAGACTAGGTAGCCTGACTGATTGTCCATTCAGTGAGTTGAATACATTTCTCCCACACTTTTTGGTGTTGTAGGCTGACTTCAGGGCTTTGGGCACGATCTCTGCTACTGAGCCTTCCCCCCCACCCCCATTTCCCTTAAGCAGGTTTTAAAGAAGGTAGAAGCTTAGGCTTAAGGATGCCTCATAACTGAAGGAAACAGCAGCGAGAAACCAGCCAGTAGATACCTGAACCACCCACCCAGTGTTGAATGCACAGCCGGGGTCGGGGGTGCAGGCTCACGTTTCACAGTGTCTTGTCTCCCTGGGTTCCTCTAAGGCTCAGCAGTCCTGTAAAGCAAGAATCAGGGATGATTCCAAGTTTCCAGAGGAGGAGACTGAGCCCCTTCCCTCAGGCCTCATGGCTCCAGAGGGCAACATAGCTTGCGGGAAAGTTGGGGGCTCCAGCTGCAGGCTGGCTCCTGTCACTTCTGGCTCCAGTTGTCAGGGGTGAGGAGCGGGGTTGGAGGTGTTGAGCCAGAAGGGCTAAGTTCACTGGAGATGAGCTCAGAGGATGGACATGAGGAGGGTCTGCCCCAGCCTGGGGAGCGGGGACAGGTAGTGTCCATGCTGGTAACCTTACACTCAGGTATTAGGTGGGTTATGCACCTATTCCAGCTCCCTATGAAGATAATCATTACGTGTGGCAAATATTTACCAATAAAACTTTTTTTAAAAAATAAACTTTGGTAACCTGGAGAGATAGCTTAGCTGCATAAACACCTGCCCAGCAAACCCAAGGTCTTGAGTTCGATCCCTGGTACCAAAAACAAAACAAAACAAAACAAAAAACTAGATAGTTAATTGCTGTGCATGGTGGAACACAGTCGAAGTCCTAGGACTGCAGGAGGCTGAGGCAAGAGGATCTCAAGTTCGAACCCAGCCTGAGAGACTTAACAAGACCCTGTCTCAAAATAAAAAATTTAAAAAGGGCTGGGGATGCAACTCAGCGTGAAGGCCCTGGGTTCCAGCCCCTGTACCATCTCCCCACCAAAAACCAAACAACAATAAGGATGGCAGACTTGGGTCGCTAGCTGTGGAGACCAGCGCTAACCAATGAGCGGGTCCTGCCTCTGGGGCTGGCCTCTGCCATCGTGGCAGCCTGGAACTGTGGATAACTCCAGGCTCAGCTGCCACCACCTGGGGGTCATCTCAACTGGGGTTTGCTGCCCGCTGTCTGCCATGTCCTGTGTCACTAATGTGCAGCTTCTTTTTGGGCTCAGCATCACACAGCCCAGTGCCTGTTACTGATCTGCCACCAGGCCACCAAAGGCAGAAAACATGAGTGTAGGAGGGAGGGAGTGACCCGAGGTGCCGTGTGCAGCCCAGCAGGGCTGGACAGGTGGCACGGCCAAGGTGCCAGGGATGGATTCCAGCTCTCCACACAGATACAGCGGAGCTGGGCTTTCCTTGATTGGGGCTTGAGTTGAGCCAGGGAAGCACAGAAATGATGAAGGACTTCAGTGACAAAGATTTGGCAACCAAACTTGTTCATGTGGACAGGAAGCCTCCCTGGGGGTGATGCTGACTTTACATTGTAATAAGTGAGACATTTCAAGCTTGTAATTTGGCTTGCGCCTACTATATTTTTACTTTCGCTTCTGGAGTTTGGTGAGATGCTTTGGTAAGAGGCCAAAGGTAAGGAAAACCAGTTTTCAGAGTTTTCCAAGCAAGCTAGCCACCATGGCACTAGATAGCGTCAGAGGGGAGCCCCTCATCTCACCCCTCCTACAGCAGCCCCCAGCAAGATGAGCACCTGGGCTTTGGCCAGCAGGTGAACATTGGTCAACGGCAAGACCCACAGGAATGTTTTTATTCTTCATTCGTTTTCTAGTCTCGCTTGTGCCCCGCTGAGGACATCACATCGCACGCTTGTGGCGACACATCTGAAAGGAGGAGCTCGCTCCTAGGAGCCGGCGTCCCAGGGGCACTGCCACAGGCCAGACACAGGTGTGGCTCCCTCCGGAGGACCCAAGATCCTGGGACACGCGGCAGGATGGAACCCTTCCCGACTCATCTCAGCTACTGTCCCATGTAGGGCTGAGGCTCATCCGCGAGAGGGACCTGCGGGAGAGACCAGCTAGTTCCAACTGTGAGCTGTCTCATCCTCTGCCTACTCTCCGCTTTTCCTCCCGCCTCATGCAGACCCCTTAACTGGTTCAAATCTCAGTTACCCCTCAGCAGCAGGGGGGATGGGCTGGACTATTCTAGCTCTCCACGTGAGGCTGAAGGCCATGCTGCAGCATCATCTGGGGAGAACAGTGGCAACCAATCTCCCCTTTTCAGGACAGCGACATCAGAGCCTAGGCGTGGGGGCCAGGTGACATCCGTGCACTGGAGTGTGGGGAACCCCAAGTGGACGGTTCCTCCCTCAGTCCCACCGCAGACATCTGTGGAAGCTAGTGCTCTTCCTGCCACCGCCACTGCCCTTCCCAGCATTGTTCTGTTGTTGCTGCTTCCGCTCCGGACTGCAGGACCCTCGTGCCCAGGCCCCAGGCCCCAGGCCCCTGCAAATGGGACAGCGCGCTCGCTCTGCCTCCCTGCTTCCCTGCCTGTTTGCACCCAGACTCCACCAGGGACAGCAGTGGGGACTCACTCAGAGGCCGTACCTCTCCACTTGGGGCAGGACTGGAAGATATCCGCAAGCCTCACAAGAAATGGCTACCACAAAACTCCGTGTCCAAGGCTGTTTGGAAAGGGAGAATTCCTCCTGGTCAATTATATTCCTCTGAACTTGATTTTGTTTGTTTTCTGGTTAGAGGTGATTATTTGTGTACAAGAATGAAACAAGGTCCCTTTGTTCTCACTCCACTGTCTGGAAAGTGTGACATCTGCTGCACCCAGGTCACCTGGTGGGGGACGGGTGGGGAGAGGGGCAGAAAACCACTTTCTTCTTATTTCTGTCTTTTCCTGTCTTGGCTGCCTTCCCCTTCTTTCACTTCAGATGTCTCTGGCCCTCTGTCTTTCTGTCCGTTCTGCTCTTCATTCTTCACACAATGTTTATTTAATTTTAAATGCTCTCCTCTGGCCAAGAGTCGGCTTAGTCCAGACAAAATGGAAAGAAGTGCAATTAAATCTGTTCTAGGGTGAGGGAGGCTAAAACAAAGATCAATGCCAGATGCTGCTGTGATGATGAGCTATCGGGTAGAGGGCACCCGGAGGGCACAGCCGAGTCTCGGACACCACGTCACCAGGTACACCGCACGCAGCACAGCGGACTGCAGAGGTGTGCCCGTCCAGGTCTGCCGCACCTCATTGCTGGGGTGGGGGTGGGGCAGTACCGGACCTGCTGAAGTGCACATTTTCAGGCTCCATCTGGGACCGGAAGAGCAAACAGCCTGGGGATAGGTCTGGGAAGAGGTTTTAACAAACCCAGGTGGCTGTAATGTGTGCTCGGGTTGTCTATTTTGCTTGTTATCATTCTGGGAGATTGAGTCAGACCTGGGGGGGGGTCCCCGGATGTCTGAAGATGGCTACAAAGGGGGATTGGGAGGAGCGTACCCAGGTAGGGAGCAAGAGGAAGGAGAATTAGGGGCTCCTTGGGTGAGCCTACAGCTTGCCTTTTAGGACCTGCGCTGGCTAAAGGGCAGCTGGGTGCACAGGACGCTAAATGGGCGAGGTAGGAAAGCCACATAATTCAATTCAGAGCACAATCTTCGTTCACAGCGTGCATTGTACACTTTTCAACTAAAATGCTCTGTTAGGTTCTATAGCAAACGCTAAGTGATTGAACCACTGGTTCTTAAATTATTTCTGATAACCCAAGAAAATGATTTTTAAGAAAACTTATGGTGCTGGGTGCTTGCAGCTCTACAGAAATACTCCAGGGAGTGATGTAACAAATGGGATTAATGGCTTTGGATCTTTTTGATCCTCCTTCTTCCCTGACCCCTTCCATTCTCGTGGTCACATCACCCTGAGGTGAGTGTGCAGTTTGCTACTGGACAAGAGGTTTGGATGGAGCAGAAGGGCCCAGGTGGAGAGTGCAAGGCCAAGCTTGTGCTCAGGTGCAGCAGGAGCCCCCTGACCTCCTGTAGATCCTCAGGACAGGGCCAGAGGGCAGGGGTGGCCACACCACGTTCCTCCCACAGAAACCAAGCGCCTGCTCTTGATTCGGGCAGAAGTGTTCCTCAAAGGGCAGATACGGTGAGAAAGGAATATGACCCGGCCTTCAGCCAGCCCTGGGCAGCAGGCTCTCTCTCCAGCTGGGTGATGATGTGAGGGGACTCACTCCTGACCCCATTGCCTTGCCTGCCTCTAAAACCTTTTGCACAGGGAGGACCTGGCGGGGCATCCAGGCAGAGAGCGCTCTGCCCAGCTGCACACCCAGACTTTCGCACCTGCTGTCCCGGACACTGGCCCATTGGGTGAGCGGACGCAGATCCTGTCCTCCTGGTAGGCAGTGCCAGGTCCAGACTCCAGGCTGCAGACCGTAGATGCTCTAATCCCACAGTGGGTTTGTGCTACATCCGGATAACTCTTCACCCAGTTGACAGTCTTTTGCAACAAGCCACTGAGATGGGCATGACATGCAAGGGCCACCTGTGCTCGGTGCCTGTCCCTTCTTGTATTTAGTTAGGGGAGAGGAGGGCCCAAACTCCTGTTGTAAACATTGTGCCTATTCAGGGCACTGCTTTGGCTGTATTGCTGGCTCCAGCACTGTATCTATTTACTTCAAAATTACTTTTAAATTTCTGTTTTCCTGGGCTTGCAGTCTGAGAAAAAGGTGATTTTAATGTCCAGACATAAGCTATTATTTAAAAGAGAGTTGTAGCTGTAACTGAAAGAAACCCAGATGAGAAATTGAGGTGTAGGGAATGCAACTTTTCTCTCCAGGCAGAAAGAGCTATTTGGCCCACAGAGAGACTTCCCAGAAGCCTGAGGGGCCACTCTTGCAGAAATGGCTCCCTACCTTTTCAGGTTTGTCTTTGTATTGGGGAGCTGTTGGGAAGATTGACAGAGGAAAGAGTGCTCCAAGCCCTTGGTTCCAGGATCTGAGGAGAACAAAGTGTGTTGCAATTACCAGGATGAAGGCCCACTCCAGGCTGGAAAAAGAGCGGCCCTCACTGATAGGGATGTGCCCATCTCTGGCCTCCCACCATGCCAAAGCCCCCTTGCCCCACTGGGGAGACCCAACTCCCTTTCCCTCCCCCACAGACCCTCCTAGTGGGGCTGAGAGATGGAAGCTGAAGAAAAGCAGATACTTGTTCCACCAGCCAGCAGCCTCCGCAGCTTTCCAGGGCTGCCCTACCAGCCACTGTGGCTTCTTGCTCTTTGGAAGGATTTCACTCTGTGGGGCCCAGAGTTGCTCAGAATGGCATGGTCATTGGGGAGGGGGAGCTAGGCAGTGCAGGACCACAAATCTAACATGTGGAGGGGACTGTAAGCAGGTGGGAGAGCTGAAGGAGGCAGGCAGAGGGCAGGGCCTTGTGGGAAGGCCCCTGGGGAGGTTGTCCTCACCCTGGGCTTTCTGTCAGGCTCCAAGGACTCTCTCCAGGTTACAAGATCTCAGGGGGTGAGAAGGGGGGCGTTGTGAATGTACCTGCAGGCAGCGCTCCTGGGCTCTGAGCTTCCCAATAAAGAAAGTAAAGGAAAGAATGAAGGAAAGGAAAGGAAAGGAAAGGAAAGGAAAGGAAAGGAAAGGAAAGGAAAGGAAAGGAAAGGAAAGGAAAGGAAAGGAAAGGAAA